TGTTCCATATGTTTGGGTGGTCTTGGTCCAACGCCTCGCACATGCTGGAACCAGATGGTTATAATTTGGCTATACTTTATTATTATATTATCTATGAACAGGCTAGTCAGACATGGTTCCATAAGTTTGGGTGGTTTGACTATAGCCTATCACCAACTGAAGAGAGTACTAATTAAAAATAAACTTGTGGTACGAAGGGGCAAACTGAGTCTTGAGCTGAAGATGATCGACTCAGTTATATGTTACCTCAAAAGACTAAGTGCAGATAATTATATAAATTTTGGATACTTAAACAGTTCAGGGCGGCTAGGGTGGCCTAGTCACATGCCTAAAGAAGAGAAAAATTGTTGTGCCGTGTGTTTGTGTATACTTTATAGCTGAGCTAGACATGTTCCATAAGTTTTGGTGGTCTAACTTTATGCCCTATGTAAGCTGGGTATAAAGGGGATAAATCATTGAAAGACTATGAACTATTGTTTGTTAAGTTTACTCTGGAATGGTGAGAGCGCTTACCTTTGTGGTTTGACCTGCATGTGACTGAGTGATGCCACTACTTAGTCCGAGTTTCAGTTGATATGTAGTTGCTTTAGTTGCTCGCCACGTGCTAGACCCATATGAGGTAGTTTCAATTCCTGCATTTTTTTAGCAGAGATTTTTTTGCTTAGATCAATTTCTGCATTTTCTGGGATCTTTTTGGTCTTGTATAAATCTTGGTAAGCCACTTTCTCTACGGGAAGCGCTACCGAAATTTCTACAAAACTAAGGAGTTAGTCAAAACTTTGTCTTCTTCAGGATCCGGTCTTGTTGGCTTTTTGACTTAGTAAGAATCTGGGAAGCCTCATTTTCTAAAGGAATTGTTGCCCAAATTTTCACTAATTCAGGGAATTATACAAAATTGGGCCGACAAAATTGGGCCTTGAAGGGTTAAGTCGTTTCAAATTCTAAACTTAGCTTTGTATAAATCTTGGAATAACACTTTCTCTACGGGAAGCGGTGCCGAAATTTCTACAAATCTAAGGAGTTGGTTAAAATTATATCTTAACAGAACTCAGACTTTATGTCTGAGTCCATATCTGACTTTGTATAAATCTGGAAAGTTTTCCTCTCTAAAGAAAGTGTTGCCTAAACTTTTGCTAAGTCAGGGAGTTAAGCAAATTTTGACTTTATAGAATCCAAAAGTTTGACTTTTGAGTTAGTACAAATTTTGCGATGACACTTTTCCTACGGGAAGCGCTGCCGAGATTTTCCTAACTTAGAGGAGTTAGATTATATTTCGACAGGTGGCGATTTCTGGGGATCCACTCTGTGTAGGGGAGATTATGCAAGGGTCTACCCTTGCTTTGGACACTGCTTAGCGGTAGATTCAAGCTTAGTTGAATAAAGTGATTTGAGTGAGATCGTGATATGGAGATATTCTCCACGAACTTATAGACTTAGCTTGGGGATTGACCTGTCTTGTGTTACAGGTCTTCTTGAACGAATCGATTCAGGATTTTGGGCTAAATTCAGCATTGATCCCACGAGGATCACCTTCTGTTATCACGGATAACAGGTCGGTTGCCGATTCGTCGGTTTACGACTCAATTCAAACTCACCCTCAATACTCAACCTAAAAAGGCTTTAGCCCTGGTGATTTTTATTGTTTTGTTAAGGTTTCACTCGGACTTTTATTGAATTACCATTTAACAAAGGTACTGATTATTTAATTATGGTTGGTTCGACATGAGGTTGGGGCTTGCATGGCTAAAGCGAGGGGTATGAGTATGGAGAGTGGTTGGGGTTGACTCCGTGTAGTGTGTGGACCTTGTTTGATTCTTTGATGTGATTGCAGGTATGTTCTGTGGTTCGGATTTTGGATTTGATTGTCTGCAATCACACATATACCTATGGTTGTGAGGAGCCCCGCTGTGATTGTGAGAAGTGATCGTCACATACTTATCCCTTTGCATATATATATATATATGTGTGTGTGTGTGTGTGTGTGTGTACCTATGCTGGAAGTTCACACTGCCCAAGGGGCCAGCGTATTAAGGGTTAAATAGGGGTTGAGGTAGGCAGAAAACCTCCGCCTCTTGATTGTATATTTTTTCTGAGTTCTTAGTCGGACGTTGGTCCTGGGCCGGGATTCAAGGTCCTTGTCCAGGACATCCCAAGCCCTAGACTCTGCGGGGAAGGAATCTTCCCCGCGCAGATCCTACTCGCCCCACCTGCTAAGACACTCAAGCCGAAAGCCTGAGGTCTCACGGCGACCGCACGCCTATTCCTTGAGCCGTGCAATATCGTGAGGGAGTAGACCCTCATGATACTTCGACACTTGAGTGTCATAAGTGGTACTCGGATCCACGAGGGACCGCTTGATTGTGGACACTACATAGTACGCTATCACTGTGACTGCTTGCGTATGCTTGCATTGCGAGTCAATATGAGAAAGTCCGACGTCCGCGCGGTTTTATACTAGCGCCTATCCGAGTCCGCATCGGAAAAGTTATGGGATGGCTACCGAGGGAATAAGAGCGTTGTCGCATTGGTTGCGTTGTGTCGTTTTGTGCGTATGTCGTGTGTGTGTTTTATTTTTATGTTCCTTATAGTGATGTGCGTGTGGCGTGTGGGATACGTCCTAGTCGACCGGCGACAAGTCGCGCTTGGGACCTCAGCCCCCCAAGATGTCGGTTCGCGTGCGGGTCCGATAGAGGCGTAGTACCGCGCGTACCCCCTATGCTACAGTGAACGAGAAACGCCCTCGGCTGGTCCACCTCTGCAATTGCAACTGATTAGCTTTCGTACTGTGGACTGGTAGCTCGGCAGGGATACGCCCACCGAAGGGAGGTGACAACTCCCGTAAGGTGGAGGTAAGTCCTACCTCGCGTAGGCCCTATCCTGTCGTAGGGGCTCGCGAGAGGTATGGCTGGCGCACTCGGTCGGAGCGGCTTGCGGAAGCTCCATGTATGTATCGCGACGAGGAATAAGATCCAACTCCTGCGTGACGCGGTCGGGAGGGTCCCGCGCTACCCCTGAGTAGTGACGGACCGATGCGCTCGACACCGTCCTGCCTCTCTCTCTCTCTCTCCTG